TTGCGACTTTGGTGGTTCGATGTGCCGAGAACTAGGTGTGGACGGGAGAGGCCTTCCTGACCCCCCTTTTTGGGATTTAGAGTGGGAGTCGACGATAGGTACGGACATATTCAGCCTAGGATCTGTATTCTATACCATTATAACAGGGCACTGGCCTTACAAATCAGAAATTACATCCGAAGGAGAAGATAAGTGGGATTATGAGGAACGGGTTATTGCCTTGTTGAAGCAGGACGTGTACCCTAATGTGGAAGGTATCATAGATGGTACGGTTATGATGGGCTGCTGGAAGAAACAGTACTCTACGGTCAAAGATATCCCCAGGAAGCTAGCTGTATAACAAGTTTCTTGCCAGACTTAGATAACCAAATGTCGTATAGGATCGGTATAGGCGTTAGCGATTAGGATACGATGGGTTACTCATGGATCCAACCCATGTCCTGATAAAATGATGAACAGTTATCAGGGTCAACATCATCCGTTCCAGTCAAACCTTCTTACCTGGCCTCTTTTTTCCCCTTCTGGTCAACGTCAGTTAATACCGAAAGTGATTGGCCGCATCCTTTATTAGAGTCACTAGCGATGAAGCAAAGTGAAGTGAATTAGGACAAAGTTAGGATGCACTGGGTTCTTGAAACCCGCCTGTTCTGATGCTTGGGTAACGGAAGTACCTGGTGGCACCTCTTGGGCTTCAAGAGGCCTCAGCTCTTCGCCATAGGTAGCCATAGGCTCTGGTTCCGCCTGTTACTTGGTCATCAGAAGTGAATTCATTCACGTACCCAGTCCTGTCCTTGGCTACAAGTAGTCCCTATCTACCTTATCCTGCTAGCACCCTTTCTGATGGGACAGGTCCGAACCAGAAACACCGCAGCTCCATGCATTCCCCCAGCCAAAGGCCTTAGTTGCACCTTGAGCTCTGCAGTGTAGCAAACACGCCTCCTTGCTGGAAGGCATACCACCGGGCAGATCACTGTGTCCGGTCGACTCCTATCCAACTTTGGGTCTGTGCAGGTGTGCTCCAACATTCAGGACGTGGACTCACAGCTGTGTCCGTATAAAGTTGATGTCGAGAGGTGCGCTAGTAAGAATGCTAACCTCTTGCACTTGGGATTGGAGTCGACAAGCGCGACTTCATCATTTTGAGACGCGCTTGTGAAATGCGACCGCTTTGTCGTCGAGGTTTTGCGGAAGATTTTGAAGGGCCAAAAAAGAGCTCTTCTTGTCGACTTCGATTGTTCAAACAATAAAATTTGGTCATAGAGTCTACTTTTGAACGTCTGACCATGTTATGTGAATTATCCCGTCTCTTGCTTAATGTTACCCCCCAATGCGCTTGTCGCAACACTGGTAGTACTGTATGTTCTTCAGGGACAGGGCTCAAGGAGACGGAGGACGTCGAGGGTGTTGGAGTGAGAATTCGCTTCCAGGAGCTGTGCACTTCGGTGTCAACTTGTTGCTCTGCCTGAAAATAGTATGATTGTTTAGGAGATTTGTTCTGAGACTGCAGGGACTCCAGCCTAGTAAAAACTTCAGTGAAGAGATGATTTCCTTCACTACGTTTCACAGCTGCGAAACCTGCATTACAAGCCTCACTTTCGAACTCTGAAGGGAGCGGAGACAACGAACCCATGGGCCAAAGTGTTCACCATTCACTTGCAAGAAGAGTAATAAAGGAATGGAGGTAAACGTGAAATGTGCTTGGCGAAGTCACCTGATCGGCTTTGGGGGCCTCTGTTTCAGAATATGGATGACTAATGGGATTCATTGGCTGGACTTGTTTCTGCAGACTCCAGGCTGAGAGCCAAATCTAATGAGATTCAATCAAGCCCGGAGATATGGCGCGATGGGCCGAAATCCAACAAAGTACTGCATGTTCCAATATTTGACGACATATCATGTGTCATATGCCGCCGCCTCTTCTCGTGATACATTTGGCAATTCTTGAGATATACAAGGTCTAAGAGAGCAAGAGAGAACTATCCACGCCTTCACACCATCGACTCTAGCAGCTTCAAACGAGAATGGAACAACAATCGATTAGCAGGGTTCGAGGTGAAGATGAGGAAGAACCCCGAGGAACCCCAGATACCGAGGTTGTTGAATTATACCAGACACCGATGGAGCGTGCACGTATGGACGGAGACTTTGCCCGCCTTGTACCCGATAACGACATTGCGAAAATGGCATTCAGCGACTTGATAACGTTTGCGAAGAGCACTCCGGAAGCTGATCACTCATGGTACCGCTTAATGTATGTTAACGAAACGCAAGAGGTCTCTGCTACGGAAATGGGGACCAGCGACGAAGAGAATACGAGCAAAGAGCATCAATTGATTTGGACTGGACACTACAGACTCAATCTCACGGAACAATTTCTCCCTGAGCTTTTCGGCCAATACGGTATCATTATCGGCGGAGGTAGACAAGAGCTGAGAAATGAAGGTGTCGATCTGAAGCTAACTAACAGCAAAGGGAGGCATCGAGTCCGGGGTAGACATGCTCGGCTCGCCCTCAGTAGTGATTCAAATGCTTGGATGCTCTATGTCGAACCCGACAAAGTAGTCCGCTTCAATGGAGAACCGATTAAGGGTACAGCTCGGCATCTCAGCGCTCCTAAAACACATCTTCAATTTGGGATTTTACAATACTATTTCGAGTATACTGGAATGAGCAACATTAGGTATCATGATCAACTAGAGAGTCTGCGAAAGTCGAACAAGCTCAGAGGCTCGATGCATAAAGCATTAGAAGCTACTCCTACTCATAATCTCACATATCTCAAGCGCTATGTGATACATCCCCCTTTCGCTATGGGATCATATGGTGTCATCTCAGCTTGTGTTCGATCGGACGGGATGCCATTCGCCGCAAAACGTGTCTCCCGGACTAAGAGGTCAGAATCAGAGATCGCAAATGAAATTGCTATGTTCGAAGCGGTTCAAGGCCATGTGAGTATTTATGATCAACTGCCATCAGTTAATGAACTGACTCTGCTATCTAAGCCTAACACTTGTACCTTGATTGAGGTTATTGAAACCAAATCTGATGTTAATGAGAGTCCGATTGACGATGTATACATGATACATTCTCCTTTAGCTGATGGTTCATTTGATTTGCTGCGGCTGTCAGACCACCAGTACGAAGTGCGGCTGGACGCATTTGGCAAGATCGTCCACGGTTTGAACCACATACACAGCAAGGGATACATGCACAGAGATGTCAAGCCCACAAATTTACTATTTTGTGGTCCAATGAGCGAGCCAGCTGTGGCAGATTTCGGCCAAGGAACACGTGAAAGGTATTCGACTGATCATACGAAAGGGACTATCTACTATCTCGCACCAGAGGTGCTTATACTGAAGAAAGAATCTGAGATCCTCGTGTTGAAGAATAAGATCGTAGCCAGAAAATCCGATGTAAAGGAGGAAAAATCCAGTAACCCCGAGCTGGTGAAGAAAGAAGTTGAGCTTCTTGAGCTGAAGAAGAAAATGAAACAGACAGGATCTAAGGATATGACTGGGATATCTGGACAACCCTATGGGCCAAAAGTTGATGTTTGGTCTTTGGGAATGGCCGGCTACGAGCTCTTCTTTCGTGGTCGAGGAAAACTCAACATGAATCTCTCGGCTATACAGGTTCATGACCTCATGTTGAAGTCACTCAAGGCGAGTAAATTATCAGCTGCGCCAGCTCTCTGTGCAATGTTGTCGTGGGATCCCGATCTGCGGCCCACGATGGATGAAGTAGCATCCTGGGCTATCTGGCCAGAAGCTTCACCTCTTCTAGATATCACAACCCGTCAAAAACGATCAAGATGAGAATTATTCTGGAGCCCGCTCTAACATTCAAATTCAGAGTACAATAATCACACTGCGCGAATCAGATTGGATAGTCCCTCACTTTAGCGACAACATATTAATTTATCGTAAGTTCCTCAACAACGAAAGGATTAAATCTCGGGAGCAACCATCGCTAACGATTTAACATCAAGAGATAACTCTAGGTACACACAGGCACACAGATAGTGATAGTCCAATCACATTTCCAACATACTCTCCGAAGCAGCCGGTCTGGCTGAAACCTCGCGAGAGTTTTTATAGTAAATATATGCCCTGCGATCGTTTGCAGACGCTTCTCCATTCCTTCTGGCAACTCCATATTTCTCCCACGCAGCAGTAGGTTGTTCCGTCTGCGTCCAAACGTCAATACTTTCCCTTGGAAATTCTGGCCTGGCCGTCGAACATCGGATGTACCATGCACACCAACGAATCATAAGGTGCTTCAAGGTCGTCAATCGATAGATTGATTCGTCAAGAAGGTCGAGCTTCCAACATAACTCCGCCTGACAAGGACAAGCATCCGCCTCTGGACGTTCGCGTAGGTCGTGCTTCTCACAGAGAATTGACAGCTCGTCAATTTTGTCTAACGTTTCCTTGATAGAGGTCTCTAAGGACTGAATAATTTTCTGTCTCACCGGCATAGTCAAAACTAACTCGGATTGTGGGGGACGTCTGGTCGATAGTGAGATTTTATTCTACCAAAATGTTTCTCTGTAGCCTGAGAATTGAAACAACGAATATGGCTCAGAAGATCTTGATTTTACGTTTTAGTGTTCGTTATATCGGAGAAAGACTGACACGACTGGACTGTGGTCTTCTTATAAAAGGACCTCAGGTTTATTTTTAGAAGGCTCTTTTTTTGGTGGGTCACGTAAACAGATTCTAGGTGAGCTATAAAAGTTGAGCGTTCTAGCGTGCATGTTGTAGGTGCCCCAAAAGATCAAGCTGCAATGGTCCTTCATCATTTTGCTCATTTGATCAGTCTTTTGACGACCTTGGTTGTGGCAAAACCGATCCCACTGAGTATCTCTCCCAGGGATACGTTCTTCTCAGGACAGCCTGCCGAAAGCTGTGTTGTCAATCTCGTCGATACAAGGGTCGATAACGTCTGCTCCTTCAATGGAAACCCCGCGACCTCCGTATGCTGTCCGGCGGGTAGCGCATGCGCTCCGAGTTTGGTATAAAATTGACGTTCCTTCTGCTTCTCTATGGTTCTTGAATGTAGCTGACCTTTTTTCTGGCACAGGATAACCAGTTTGAGTTCTTCTGCTTCTGAGCACGAAAGTTCTCGGAGGGTGGCTATAAATGCTGATAACGTTCACATTCTTTTGGTGCCGGAGAAGTGCGATTGCAAGTGTTATGGTGATTATGGTGATTATGGTAGCTGTAACACTAGCTAGATGAGTATCAAGGTCGTCGCAGCCTTGGTAAATCTACTATTGCATTATCGTTATTTGTTTATAGAATGCCCAGGTACGTAAATGCCCTGTAAGGAGTCCGTCCTTCATCCACTCTACCGTTATTTCGGTGATAGAGACGTTACATGTTGGACTTGAGACGAGTTGTTTCTACCCACAATGCTAGATTGTACCACTGTATCATAGATTATATCGTCGACACACATGTCTCCGCCAGTCGGTCCAATGTGAGAACAGTGGACGTCAGGTCGTAGAGGTACCATAAGTTGATGGAGACTGCGGCACAGGATGGTATTCATCCCAAACTCATATGAGGTCCCTAATCGAACGTTCTGACTCAGAAACTCTATACATTGCGACTTGTTCTCATACTGGACATTCTGCGAATCTGTACAGTGATTTAAAGCTGTGCCGCAGATTTGTTGGATGATATTTGATTTGAAGGTGTCGTTCGGTTTGTCTCCATCACCCTCGCAGCCGTGACTTTCTCCCAGAAGTTGGAGCATGTCGTCAAACAGCCATGCAAACCAGCGGAAGGAGGTGTCATACGCAACAATCTCTTCCTGCGAATTGAAAGCGAGCCACAAGTCGATTTGGACTGGCACAACTTTGTCAATCAACGAAATGTTGAAAAACACTAGTTCTGTGACAGAAACAATGTTGCCATTCGTGGCAAAGCGCATTGGCTCATGGCTGATCGGGATCCCCAGCACTGACACGATGGATGAAGTGCTGCCAAGGGTCGCGAATGATCCGAAAACGTACTCGGTGTTCAGCTCGCGACCGTGACATGTTCGACTATCGTCGACTCGACCGACGACATCCTCAGAAAAGAGTGTGGAGTTGACGGATAAAAGCTGAACCCTGTTGTTTGGGTAAATGAAGTTATCCCAAAACCTGGTAGTCAAACGATACAGGTTGTCAAAGGAGAGAGACTGAGTTTCATACGCATGAGACCGATGTGACAATGACAAAACGTCCATCTCAGGCATCTTGGTTGGAATGAACGACAAAGCCACCGAAGTATGGGTAGTGAGAAATATAGGGATCTTCATTTTCAGGTCCAAAAATGACGCTGGTCGGTATTGTTTGGCCAGTCTCATGTCTTTCCAATGCACACCTTTATGTACTTGTGTTGTGGACATATGGAAGTAACGTGCCCTTCACGAGTATTGTGGATCCTCATTCATTGAATTCAGACCAACAGAACTCCAGAGTTTGTGAGTGCACTATCACGTCAGCATTTCACAGAAAATTGTCCCATATTGTACAACCATCCTCCATTGATTGGTTCCGACTCTCAACACATCAGGCTCCCATCTTTTACACCTTTACGCCACCAAACCTGATCTCCACCCTTCCTTTCATATTTTCTGCCCCTCGACCTGGAAGTCTCTTTGGCCCCGGTTCTTTCTTCTTTTGTGCTTTTCGTTGCTCCGACCCGCTTCCAACTAGCCTTCTTCGTATCTGCAAGATGATGCAGCATCTCTGCGAATGGCCCTTTGTTTCTCCCCCATCCGCTTCTGTCTCCTCTCCGTCTTGCCGAGGGGGTGTTCTGTTCTATGTCCGAAGTGAGGGTTATCACTTAGTCGAGTTAAACATGGTGCACTGCCATTCGTTGATCTCCTCTTAATGATACACCTTATGCATCGTGGCGCTGTGGTTCATGTAGTGTTTCAAGCACTTCAGCAGAGTCTTGCAGCCTGGAACTCGACAGCAGAACGGTCTATTGAATTGACCTGCCCCAATGTGTATATCGAGGTGGCGCTTCAACGTCGACTTTCGGGCGAACGCCTTCGTGCGCGATGTTTCTGACCATCCCTTCTCGCCAATACAGATGAGACAAACTGCGCTCTGAAACGTCCACGGCGCCTCTCCATTGGCCGTGGATGTCGTGGAAGTGAGCCTATCACCACGCGTCTGAGAGAGATTCGGCCTTTGCAACGCCCACCCATCGTTGGCGGCCTGGCCGCTCCCGGTTGGTTGCCATGCTTTCGTAGTGACCGGGGGAAAAGACGGTGGCTCACCCTGAGGAAAACCCTCGTCGTGGTAGGGGTCTGCACGGTACCGCCGACCCTCCTGTTGAAAGCAGAGATTGACCAGTGCTTCGATGAAGGCGACCTCTCCGCCTAAGGCTTTACCGGTCGTCGTATCGCTGAGTGGTAGAGAGATAAATTTCGCCACGAGAGCTCGATCGGGTGACTCAAAATCCAGGGTTGGTGTCATATACGGTTCAGCCACGGTAGCCTCGTCCAACTGTCGATCGATCTCGAGGCCATCGATGGTGTCATGGAAGTCCCGGATCGTCTCTGCCAGGCGCTTGTTCCTCAACGTCGTCGTCATGCTATTGATCTCACGCCCCAGCTCCTTGTACCGGATGAAATCCGGATGATCGGTGGCCGTTGAAAGAGGATAATACCCATGACGGGTAAGTCTTGCCCGTCTTCGGTCGCGGTGTGCACGAAGCATAACGAGCCGCGGGTCGTTGCGTATTTCCTGCTTTTGCTGTGCGGTGAGCTCGGTTGGTGCCCTCTTGTCCCGAGTCAAGCCCATACGTGCCACGGCGCGGATAAGTTCGTCCTGGGGCGACGTGCCAAAGTAGATGGATTGAAAGTCGCGTTCGATAAGGTCGGGCATGTAGAATTGTTCGTATGTATCTCCATGATGGCCCATGGTCTGATTCCGTTCCTCGGGAGTCAGAGCGCCTAGAGGATGGAGATGCATAGTGAGCGCTCGGCGGGGGAAGTACTTTTCAATGGTGCGGCCAAGACTTACTGTTGATATTGCGACCAGAGCCCCGTCGTAATTGATAGAGCTCCACGGTATTTTCAAAACCGGATAAGCGGCCGAGATGTACGTGGTGATCGCGATACTTGTGATAAGGCAGGGCTTTGCTGTCGGACACGTGGAACCCGGTGGCGGTGCGCCTCACATCCCTAAAAAAGGGGTGTGGCAGCCTCTCCTGCTTAAACTTCAATTGCAGGACGTCGCGGCCAGTAGGCACCGTCAAGCTCAGCAACTGTTGCACCGAAGTGAAGGTTCGCCTGAAAGCCCGGTGAGCAAATGCCAAGGCCATGATCTGGTAGACGAGACAATATGCCAAGGTGGACTCCTCGTAGAAGATGAATTTTTTCCTACCACGGCAAAACGTCAGTACAAAAAGAAACAAGGTCCGTTTGACTGGACGCACCGCCGGCCTTTCCCGCCTGAATCCTTGATGTGCACAAGGTTCACCTTGACCGCCCACACCTCCCGGCTCGGGTTCTCTGGGTGTCGGACCTTCAATATTTCAATATGCTCATACCATAGTGATTTGTTGGTGCCTTTCGCGCTGCTGCTCTCCACCAACGCCCCCGGGCGGGTCGCCGTCGCGGCACTGAGGAGATACAGCACCGATATCTCCAATCGCAGAACGCCCGGGAGGGGTTTCGGGTCTTCCACCCAGTGAGCGTACAGGATTACGTAGAAATCCCGCACGAACATGGCGAACTTATCCTTCTCGGACGTTTCTAAGTGGTACGTCGGGGCCAAATACGTAGGAATCCACTGGGACTGTTGGTCAGCCGATGCACTTCCAACGTGTACCACTGATCAGATCTAACGCACATCTCGGATATCGAGCTCCGTGCCATTGTCCATTCGGCGGCCTGCGTAGTCGATGTACGCACAACTCAGCCGCTTCCAATAGCTCTTGATCGTGCTCTCCTTCTTTACACGCCAGTTTTTCACGCGCCATTCGAGGTATGTCTTCATGGTCTGAGCCTCGCAGGCCTGGAGGCACTCCACGTAGTCCTGGCGGATTCGGCCACAGAAACTGTAGGAGGCCGACATGTTAGAATCGGCGGCAGCACAGCAGGGGTTGAGGGAAGAAAGACGCACTGCCGCCAGAAGTCGACTTCTCGCTCCACTAGCGACTGGGACCAGGCTTTCCGGCGGGACCTGGCTCGGCCTTGGGATTTATGAAATACCATCCGCTGGAGAAGATCGTCCCGTTCGATTGTAGATCGACCGTCGTCTTCAGGGGGCGGGTCGAGGTCGGAGGTCGAGTTCGTGGCGACCTCATCGACGCGGACCGACGTCACGGATCTGGAAGTCTCCGAACCGCTCGACACGTCGTCGCACTCGGACCTAAACTCCATCGTAGAGTGTCCAGAGCAAGGGCGGACGGTCGTGGTGTCTGGTAGTGGCTAGGGCAGTGTGAGAGACGCTGAACGAGGTAGGCCCACGTCCGATGGCATGGAAGGTGAGGAGTAGAGGTGAGAAGGTAGAGGGGAGGGTATCGAGGTGCATGGCGAGAGGGCGAGGAGGGTTTAAGAACCCTCGCAGAAGGCAGCACCATCGCGGTGTCGCAGATACCAGCTTTTCGACTCCGGGCTTCCTGGTCGCAGTGTGGTGACCTTGCTGGCACAGAAAAGGACAGAGGCCGATGGGGTGGAGTGAGAAAGTGGAGGTTGCTGACGGGGACGAGAAACCAGGGTGCAGGGAGCAGGGAGGGAGGAAGGGGCCAGGCAGGAGCAGCCAGAGAAGAGAGGGTTGAGGTCGGCCAAGGGTTTGTCGGCTTGGGTGGCTGGAGGGGTCAAGCCACAGGTGCAGGAGCCTCGCAAAGCGGCGGTCCGCGTCCCCCGAAAAGCGAGGCCTTTGCACCACCAACTGTATTCAAGGAGTGATATAACGGAATATTTAGACTGGGGTTCGGGTCGTCACATCACAGGTTGCATCAATACTTCTTGGGGCACTTCGTCGTTAGTTGCATTACGTCTCTAAAGTGGAGGGTCTATGTTCCCGATTTAGTTTCCGTCAAGGCGTCAGAAAATTTAAGACGTTCGACTGTAGTTACTAGTAAGCAGTCGCTCCTCTCAGCTGGAGGCCTCGAGTCGAGCGTGGGGGAGGGCCAAATACTTTCAGGCGTTGTGCGTTTGTTTATATTCATGTTGAGCATATTCATTCAGAAGCAAAATGGTAGGAGCGTCTCAGATGAGTTTGGCGTAGAGTTTTGATCACCAATTGCGATGGCCATTGGGTTGCAGGGCGATTAGAGCGCCAAAATCTCTGACTCAGAGCCTGCAAACACCCATGCACTTTAAAACGCTGGCCAATCTCAGACCTCAGACCTTTCCGGCAGAAAAGCCTGTCACATTGATCGAGGTAATCATATCGCAGCGCTTGTGCACTCATTGCTGGACAAGGAGTTTGGGGGCAATTCGTCAGTCTTTCCAGGCCAATTCGCGAAAGCGCTAGCTAATGAACTTAAAACAAACCATTCCCCCATATTCAAGCCAACGACTACCTAGGCATTACACGCTCCAGCTTTTCTTTTGGACCTTCCACGATAGCATTTGCAAGCACAAATCTGAACGTCTCCTAGTAAATAACGAGAATGGCGGACCCGTTAAGCGTTGCCGCTTCGGTGCTTGCTGTTGCAACAGCTGCCGTTGTGTCGATACGATCCCTATGCGATACTGTCAAAAGCTTTCAGAATCGCAACAACACTTTACGACGCCTTCAAGCCAATCTACAAGATCTTGCCACCATTCTGGACTCGCTAGTACAAGTGATCGAAGATGATATATCGGTGTTGGCGCTTCTTGAAGGTCCCATTGATCGTTGCAAAGATATATGCATCGAGTTTGAACAATCCATGAAGAAGTTTCACGCAAAATCGAAGACAAGCTTATTAGATTGGACAAAATTGGAGTTCATGAAAGGCGACATCAACGATTTTATAGAGACCCTTGAGGGGTATAAGTCAACAATCACGGTCGGTTTGGGAACCATCAATTTGTCAGTCAAAATCTCCTGTCTGTTTTAGACCCTGCTGACCTTATTTGTGAGGCGGAACTCTAAAGTGTCTCACGATGTCCTTCAACAGTATGAAGAGATGATTAAAGACACGGCATACAATCTCGAAGTCCATTTACGCCGTATCGACGAGAAACTAACAGGTTACAATAGTCAGGGTGACAATGCACTAGAGACAAGCATAGACCTTCAAGACGAGAGGGCAGTAACTCAACAGTGCCTCCGTATTTGTAAGGATGCAAGCTCTTATATTGAGTCGCTAACAAAGCGAGCGTCGACCTTATTGCAAAATGCGCCTCAAACCAATGCTGAAGATGATTCATGGGGCGACTTACAAGCGCAGATGCTCACGCGCGAGGCTTTTAACACATCACAATCCAATTTCTTGAAGGTCATCAGTTGCCTTGGAGAACGTTTACAGTCCATGGTCACGAATGAGGGAGCAGGAAATGAAAACGAGAGATCACGGTTACAAGAAGACATCAACATATCAAAACAGTGTCTGCAAGTATGCAAAATGGCTGGCGAAATTTCTTCTCAGAAGATACACAGGATCGGAGAGGCTGTTGCCGAGGATGACAGTGATCAAGTGGTGGTGACAACTTTGGCGGATCTCTTTGAGGTCAGAAAAGCGGTCTCCAAGGGTCGCTCGGCGCAGCTGGTTGCCACCCTGACACCTGAGAATTTTGATCATGTGGTCGAGAAGCGGTATAGCAGCCGATTTGGTGCTTTCCTTGACTCCTCCGTCCATTCTCAAATCGGGAGTGCAACCTCACCAATTCCTTCGCACTCTCAAACTAGTAAGCAATTTCTTTCGCCTGGATTGAACAAAGATTCGCAATCACTTGGGCCAACGGGAAGACGTGACAAGCCGAATTCCAACGAGATGAAAAGACGAGGTGGAAATGGAGAAAACGTATGGAAGGCCAAAGATTAGCTTTATGAAAAAAGGATCTCTTCCCGTGACTCTTAACTTGCAATGATCCGAGACCTTACCCGCAGCCCCTTGACCGGATTTGCTGCGAGAGTTCGTACTTGCCGGTATGGCCGACTAGTTATTACCGGCAATGGTGATGCACTTCTCATCGTTACCCTCTTCGCAGTGCTTATCCACTAATCGCTCTGATTTATTGATCGCGATCGGCTCGGCGGCATGAACGGTCCACAAAGTCGCTGATACTACTCCGATCTGCCATGAGGACAATTGTCCGGTGACGCGGTCGGCTGTAACTACAGCTGCGCCAAAATTTGATTGTTCCCCCTCTTTCTGCAATCCTCGGTACTGCCATTGGTGCCTTCTCTCGGACCTTTACAACCATGATCTAGTCCTCAGCGTTGGGTGAGCGTATGATGCGAAGGGGGGTTGGGGTCTGGTAGACTCCGGTCTCTCTGAAGTGACGAGGTCCGTGGTCTTCAGGGCCTCGACCAGTGCGAATTGGGTTTGAGTCCATCGGCGTTCTACTGATTTATAACACCGTGTATGATTCTACTCCCGGCATGTGCTTGAGGGAGAGTTGCACAGTTGGGCTGCTATATCCTGTCCTGTTCATGTAAGTTTTAGAAATGTTGGAGGATGGCCCACGTTTGAGTGGCGACCGATCTGAACGCCGAGTGCTGCTTACTGCACGTTGCTTAGCACTTGAAGGTGTCCCTTGTCTCGGAGAGGGTGGTGCCACATAGACGAGGCATAGCCTACCTTAGGCAGCCGATACGCCTGGTAAACCTGCCCCGTCCGTGCTGGCCGTAGGTGCCGCAGACTACATATCCCTTGGGTTGCGGTGATTGTCTTCTTGACCGCTTATTGTACATATTCTCCATCACAATTCCTCGCCAAATCCTCCGAAAGCCGCGACGGGTTTGTAGCCCAAGGCCATGACGTGCGCATCAGGGATCTGCCTAGGAATGCAGCCCTTGACTCAGAAAGCTTTGGACTTCGGATGTTTCCAGGTTGGTGATGGAATTGCCCCTGAGGGCGTGCACGCGACGATGCTAGAGCAGGAGGTCAGATAGCGAAACCACTGAACAAAGAAGTAATAGCCTACGGGTCTTCTAGAGACTTCACTCGACCGGAAGTGGGATGGTTGCACCTTTCGGAGCGTGCACACGGCATAGTGATGTGGAAAGCAGAGTGCCAGTCGGTCGGGCCCGCTTTGTCGCACTGAGGATTCACAAGCTAAAAGAATTTACAGAATAGCGACCCCTTGGACGTCGCTTGCACGAAGAGTAGAGTGATAGGCATTGTAGCAGTGCAGCATAACGGTCCAGCACTTAGCCCGCGCTAGTCGGTAGCTTTGTTGTAAGGAAGGGAAATTGAAACGGATAATGTGATCACGTGGCGCTTTCCGTGACGAGCCGTCCAGTGGCAAGCTGCCGCGCCAATGAAGGTGGTAGCTGGTGTCCGAGGCCTTCAACTGTGGGCACATTGTAGCGATACGGGGTGTCTTACTAGTTACATAATCGCCGTCCTTGGGTCCATCCTTGGCTGGTTGTCGATTGGCGTCCCTGCACTAGACTGCCTGGACGCTTGAAAGCACGAAAGCCCGGTAGCAATTCTTCGTGGTGCTGATCGTTTTGGACGATGCCGACCGACACTTTGCCATTCCTCCACACCTGTGGTTTGAACCCTCAGCCACAGCCCTGGCTTTCACCGCCTGGCCTCCCCGCTTCGCCCTACTCTGTCACACTACCTGCTTCTCGTCGCACAGCCCTGCGACCTGGGCAGAGCCACCCAAAGCCACTACAGGCATCGTCTGCTACCTTTCACGCCTACCCTCCCTGCGCCCTGACAGCTCTTTGGCGTCAGCATATTCCACCTTCTCCTCTCACGTCACCTTTCAAGCGTGCGCCCCACGATAGTGATACCCTCACGCAACCCTGACCGCCAACGGATACGTCGATTGCCGCTTCCGCTTTGAATGCCTATGATAGAGCTTTCAGTCTGAGTGCGACGATACATTAAGCGGTCGGATATATCTAAGGCCGCGAAGTTGTTTCTCGGTGTTGAGGCGCACACCGACTCTACTTGTGACGTTGGATGGCGCTCTGAGGGTGATGATCGATCCCACGAAGACTTTGTGGGTGAAATGGAAAGGTGACCTCTAGAATCCCAAGGGCAAACATACCAATCACGCCTCCATTCAGAAATTGGCCGTTTCTTCTTCAAGTGGTACAGCCTCATCGTATTGATGATATTGTGTCCTGAACAGCATATTCCACAACTCCTTACCGATCTTACGATGATCTTCGTTGAGTTTCGCTATGTTGTCTACAACGAACTCTCTGAAAAGAATGGATCAGCGGATTGGACAAAGATGCCGAGTCGCTTGAGGAGGAGGAAATAACGCCCCCCTCTCCCCCGTCGAGGAAATCGTTGTACGACTCGAGGATCAAGAGACGTGGCACAAAGTGGGATTGAATGACTAACCAGAGGACTGTCTCTAGGTTTGTCACGTCGTGTAAAATTCCAAAGAGACTGCCTTAGCGCCCAGCGCCACCTTCAGCTCTCTAAGGTCCCCCTGCACGGATGCAGAGGAAGTGAAAGGTAACTATGGAGCTATTTTACGGAAACTTGTGATGAAAATTGAAAGCGGGGATTGTCCGTGCACATCAGTGTTTTCCAGAAGTCTCTTTCACATTCTGGCCAAGAAGTTACAGGATGTCATAGACAACTTTCTCTCTCCTGCCGCAGAAGGAGGGTACACAAGTTCTTCAAACCGCGAGTACCGGGTAAGGACCAGAGCTCAGAGCATCACACCGTGACAATTACTGAGTCCGGGTCTATGGTGGTGACACATTTCATAAGTAGGTCGATAGCAGTGGCTTGTATCCAACCCTGGAACCTTAGGATCCAATACTTCCGCTTCACGATCAAGAAGAATCATGTAGGAGGTTTACACCTGGCGACCTGTGACAAATCTTTTTATCCCACTCAAAGATTTTTTTTCATATCTTCTCTCACGTCAAAGTCTTACAACGAACTCTCTAAAATTTATTCCCCTCTAACACAATTTCAACACCAGGGAAACCGTACCTGAGATTCATTTTCTAGAAAGGCTAGGCCAAGTTTCGAAAAGAAAACCGCTACAGTCGCTGAATATACACTTTCCTCGTCCATCGCACATCCTCCTAGGCTACAGAAGCTGTAGTAGCGGTATAGGTAAATATGTCAAAAACCAAACGATGTATAAGTAACGTGCTACAGAAAGAGCTTAAGGCCATCTACTGCCGAGCTACTAAGCCTATAATAAGCACTCAGTGCCACCGCACCGCCCATAGAAGAAACAACGACATCTAGATGGGCGCCTGGAAAAGATGCAGGGATTTAGGGTTGAGCCAAACTGAGTTCGGGGAGTTAATCAGCTACATTCCCGTCGCTGTACTTGAGCGCCTCCCTGAGGATCAGTCCTGGCTTATCCCCTTGTGCATTGTCCAGAACGACAGGTTATGCAAAATGAGGTTCATGTATCAGAGCCTGGAGGAGTTTGTGGAGCTCATTCATAACAGCACAATGTACGCGATCAGAGACGTATTTACACAGTCGGTCGCATTGGTAGACCCATGGATGGGGTTGATTACGGAAGAGAGTGGGCTTAGCTCCATGGATGCTCTTATGGACAAGAATTGGAACATGGAGAAGCCTGTGATTGCGCTGTCAGGTCAGATTCTGCGTAGGCGCGGGGAGAACTACTTGGTCGCGGCCGCGACCAGTAATTCGATCAAGATCTTGTACTCGCGCACCATGGTGGGCCCGGTTTCGATCTTGAAAATGGACGAGTACACAGACAGTACCTTACATGAGCTATTGACCAGGGTCTGGCATGAATTTCAGAACTCACAAAGAACCGGTAATAGGCATCGACTCCTACGGCTGCCTTACTGAGACCACGATCTATCAAATATGGTCCTGGCTCGGGCAGTGTTCCCATACGTGCAAAGAATGATGTCTGGATATCTACTCTCGGCGGTCACCGTCATCAACTTGCAATTAAGTAATTCAGCACACCGGTAAATAGACATCGTGTTTTACCAGTCTATTGCAACGTAAATACTCTATCCGGGAACTAAACTCAACCTGGGGGTTGGCTACACATACGCGGTTGATAGAGCAGCAGCACATACGAATTTCCAAATAGTTTGATTGAAGTAGGGATAATTTTCGTCTAGTGGCCATTAGTAATTACTCATTTCGGCGAAGCGTGCCACAGCAAGTCAGCCGATGCCGTTGTCAATGCGTGAGATAGGTACAACGCCAACACCCAACACCCAACACTAATTCAACCATCGTGAAGGTCGACAAACTGATCCTGGTCCAGTCCAGCGTCAAGATTTCCTTCTGACTCGGATGGAAGACTAGGCTAAGGCCATAGAGAATATAGTCGCATGGCGAGTTCAAAAATATATACATCAAAAGTAACTGAAAAAGGGCTGGTGTTACTGTCGTTAAATGATTAGATCCGAGTACAAGAGACCCGATCTGGCTGGCTTTGTTGGCGGAACGAGGAAAGTAGAAATATTCACAATAAAGACGTGGCGCAAGTCAATCGCATCCAGGAAGTACACTTGAAAGCGCAGACGAAAGAAATATAGCATGTAGTCCTTTCATATCGAACTTTTAGCGACAGAAGAGTAATATGCCTCGTAATCTAAAAATGCTAGGCCGAAATTTCGGATTCATAGGTCAACTCATTGATGCATTGATTCGTCAAGAATCACAATCCGCTCCTGGTATCACAACTTAGTCTCCTGAATCCAACAAGGGAAGACTCCGTGCTTGGTTCGACTCCTTCAACAATTCAAAGAGGCTTCCACCAAGCACTTTGTTGAGTTGTCGGAGAAATCCGCCGTTTACTGCATCGATTTCGCCGAGTCTGAAACCGGCGGAACACCATCTGGAATAGGCTTTGCGCGAAGTCGAAAACCAGGCCCATGTCGCTGCCAATTCCCAGGAACAGCATCACTCTCTGAGCTGCTTTGCGGGAATTCACCAGAACTCCGGAGGCCTTGAACATTGATCCTTGACATATCCTGTGAGAGCTGTACCACAGTGGCATCACTAAGATATCCTCCAATTTGCCTCGTCCTCCATCCCAATCCTCGATTCATACCATGAATCGTCTTACCGTCCGTCGAGACCATGAACTGAATGGCATCGCCTGTGGCATAATTTTCAACCACACTGACATTCTCCTTCAAGTCGCTATCTGCTTTGGTGCATATGTTCATGCATTGGCGGGCCGTTTCCAACTCTTCTTGGAGCCTTGCAAGGTCGGCAAGATCATCTGGAGAGGCCACCGTGATGTTCGACTTTGAAATCATCCGTTGCATTAGATCTTTTATGTGTCGTTCAAGCTTTCCAGATGCCGTACGAAGGCTATCTCGGCATTCCCGTAAACCCTTGTTTATGACTGAGTCAGGGGTGCTTCCGATGTCATTCCGCCCAGGAGATTCGTCCTCGGGTCTTGCCGGGATTCGAATTTGGCTAATGTGCTCTGATAATTGATCACAGATCTAAAAACATCGTTGTGTGCTCGTAATCTCATCTTTGATTCAGTCGGCCTCGAGTGAATCTGAGCTAGAATCGGTCTCCGTCCTCTGAAGGGGCATCTCAAGCTTCTTATTGATAGTTTCAAGATGTGCCTGTAGATCTTCAGTAGCAGCCCCAATCAAATTTTTGTAGTTCTCAAGGTTCTCGCGGGTGACGGTGGATTTGTGACTGGAACATCCAATGAGCTCTCGCTTAGAAATGAACGAAAAGGTGAACTCACAGGGTTACGTTAGTCAGGGCGATGGTAATGGTCAACTTGTATCCTGCCGAATATCGTCGAAAGCTGTCTATATCGCCACCCATATATCTTAGCTTTGCCCAGTCACAAAAGGTTGTTCGAGAATTGCTAGACCGCGATGAGCATTTTAGAATCTCTGCTTGGAATTCTCTGTAGGCATTGCCGCAGCGTAGTAAAGGAATGTCGAGAGACGAGAGCTTTACATCGGGAGATGCTCTGAGAGTGTCGCTAAGAGGAGCAAGAACACTGCTTAGGGCTTCAAGCTCTTCCGTGAGGTCTCGCACGCGTTTGGGGTGAGATTGAAAGCTTCAGATTGTCTCATTTAGCGTGATGCTGGACTGGAAGGCGAAGAAAGCCAGTGCCAGTATGCCTGATGACAATCCTACTATCGCAGTCATTGGATGAAGCGTGGCACGGCAAACAGTGTGTGCGCGGCACAGGACAAAAAGTCTTGTACAGGTCCAGAAAAATCTCCCAAATAAGCTAGCGGGATTAGCGTAGGCATCATGATCTGCTGACACTAGTACCGGCCCATCACCTAGGCGCCTCATGAAGCGATTATATTTTGACCTTCGCCAACGTAACACGGGTGACGAGTGACAGGCATGTCCTTCACAGGCCCTGAGACTAAATGATCGAAAGAAGTCCTCAGGGCAAGTTTGGGCACCCACCATCACGAAATGCAGCCCTTTTTGATCCCCTCGGCACTATTAGGCGATCTGTCAATCAATTTATGGCATCCTATTTTTGGTTTCTAGTTGGCCCATCTTTTGGTCCTTTCAAAGACAAAGAATGCGTTTGCGATTCCCGAGACTCCCGCAGGCTTGACACCTTTCATCTCATCATGGCCTCGACCTTCACCATCTAGAGCTGAACCTGCTAGCTGGCTAGCAATGATTCATTTCATCCTGCACTTATCAAGCCCATGCGTTCGGCATCCCTCCAGCGCTGGCAAGCTGGTTCCAACATCAGTCATAGCTCTCTCCGGCCCTCAAAATCTCGCGGCACTACCGGCCATGAAGATTCCAGGTTGAGGCCCTGCTGATGTGTCTCATTAGCCATTATTGAGTCAGGCATGACTTCCATGTCCCAAACTCCAGGATCTGGAAGCAAATTCTGTTGGACATTGCAATGGTCGGGTTCAAGCCCGGTGCATGCAGCACAATCTGCTCCATTCTCAGTCAAGGCCGATGCCCCAGTGTTCCAGGGGCACAATCTGGACGGTCCACTGTGCTCTCCAGTCCGGTAGCTCAAGGATAGGTCCCCCAACGGCAAATGGCTTCCGTCAACGTGAAGCATTTGCACAATGTCCTGGTTTTCTTGGTTGTCTTGATCAATGAACGGCCTCTTCAAGCGATCCTCGAGGACTTCCACCGGTCGGTAGTAAGAGACCACGTGCCAGGTGTGGTTCAAGTATTTCAAGCGTATCGTCTTCTTCACCAAATCTTCAGGATGGGTATTGAAAGATTTGGCCAGTGGACCATAGAGTTGGTCGTATCGACCTTCCAGGCCTTCGTTAACCAGCACTGACTGGTTGCCAGTCTTTATTATGCGTGATTGTCTGCCTGCTGGCTGTAACTCTCCATAGACGAGGAAACCATCCAGAGCGCGGCTCGGGGTCCACCGTTTTCCATCTGTCCAACGCTTGATGCCGGATGCAGCCTCCTCGAAGATGAATATGTGGCCGCTTTGCACAAGGGTAGGTCGTTCGGATGTCACAGGTCGGCTGCGGATGAGTGGCAAACTACCACGAAGACAAGCTTCAATCAGGCTTTGGGCATCACCGGCAGTTTCGACGAAACCCCGGTATGATGGTTGGAGGCCACTATTGGAGTCCATTGTTGGAGGCTGTCAGAGGTTTTGAAAGGGCAGGAAGGGGAAGGCCACCAGAGTCCCAGGGCTGTAGATATGTCTCATATACTTCTACCAAATTCGACTTGCCCTTCTCAAGTGGTACAAAAAGGTACAACAACTCGTGTCAGTGACACCAAGTCTCGGATGGCTGCATCTCTTGTCACCCCTTGCTGATGTGATAGATCACATTGCGAGCGACCTGTTGTGTTATTATTCGACACAGAGAAGAATTCAATAACAGCGTTGACTGTGCTTCAGGACAATGTGTTGCTGTTTATAGGAAAAGGATTTTCTTTTATTTTTTTTAAAAAAAGTTTCGAGCGTGCGATGTTGGAGCCATTCGTGAAAGCGCCAAATTGCGGTGCTTGATTGTGCCAAGCTAGCCTCTGGCTTCTGGGTTCTGGGTGAACACTACATTGAATGAGATCTTCAGCACATCCTTGCATAATTGACAAGTGACAAACATGATATGCTCCCTGGATCATGCTAAGGGATTAAATAGTTCACATCCCTAGCAGTAAAACGCCCTACGCGATGAGATCTACGTCAGACACTCCGACATCCAGCGCTCCTTGTTCGCAGATCATGGCAACAACCTCAACTTAAAGATTCCCTGATGTTTCCGCGCCACTCCCGTTCACAGATACCACTCTTACTCGACAATAACATGACATGATCTCTTCCACCTCGCCATTTCCTTAGCCTTCAACAAAGACTACAACCTGTCTTTTTCACATGGACACGTCCCCACTCACACGTCTCCAAAATTAACATCACAGATTGTAGAAAATGACACATGAAGTGTTGGAAGTGTGCGTTGTGTTCTTCAGAGGTGACTTTTTCAATGTGATCTCGATTGATGTGCGCACTACATGCACCAACAATTGCTGTTGAACTATTACCACGTGACATTCCACCATGAGGCGTGCTTCTGTTGTCATTAATCTTTCTAGGCTTACCTTCGCCATTACTCCCTGCCATCATCCTAAGCGGTCTGCAAGCCCCAAGTTGGCCTTTAAAACCTCAGCCTGATTCCAGCAACGCCCAACATGATGCCCTGTCGGCGGCGTCCTCAGCCTGGTCACCATATCTCAAAGTCTACAACCGGTCTAGATTGCACTCCATCCGCCCCATCCTCCCAATCACCACCCTCGTCTGATTCGAGAGAGAAGAATATTCTTTGGCGCTGGTTCAATCTACAATGACGATTGATACTGCGCCCGTATCTCGTTATCACTGTCCATAGGTCGACCAATACCAAGTCGAAGTGGTATACGCTTTACCTCACCAGTTGACGGTCGTGCAGGCCATGTCGGACGATGAGTACGCACTACTTCGAAGCAAAGATGAGCAGGACCGTAGTCAGCTGAGGTGCTCCGCGGTCGTTCGAGGTTATCTGGCTAACAAGTATCCGTTTTGGCACCCAATACGCATGTTTTCAGGGGGAAAATATGTGATGTGTGCGCAACGTCATATCTTTTATTGTTTAAGGAAGAGAAGATTCTAGACTACCAGCCTTGTGGTTATCATCCTGTTGTCCTGGGGGATACTTTGAAAAACGGTCGCCACAAGATATATCACAAACTAGCTGTTTTACTGTATGGGTTGCTAAAGATGCCATGTACGTCGTCCCTCTGCTATACTCATTTCCATCGATGCTTATGAATTGCAGAAGTGAGCAGTGGGTGTCGGTCAAAATTGTGAAGGCGCAAACGTCAGATCAGTCTCGAGAATTGTTTCGCCTTCGAGCACTATCCGAACATGCAAAGGGCAATCTCGGCTCGAAATATATTGTTCAACTACTTGATGATTTCTGTAATGAAGGTCCTAATGGCTCGCATCTTTGTTTCGTGTTGGAACTCCTGGGGCCTACTAACAACATCACTGTGGACGACTGTCATCGAGTGGGGGAGCGTCTCAATGCGGAAAGGTTTGTGAAAATATCAACACAGCTCTTGGAGGCTATGACTTTTCTACATGAGAAAGGGTTTGCGCACGGAGGTATTGTGGGCCGCTCTCTCTTTGGTCTTGTTAGAGCCACTTCAAATTGTCGGAGCTGACCGGCTGCAGATCTAAGCGTGAGAAATCTTGCGTTTAATTATGGTCGAATGTCTCGTTTATCCGAAAAGGAGCTCTTCGAGAACCTCGGGCCTTCAGAGTCTGAATACGTCACCCGAGTAAACGGCAAATCCCTTGAAGAGGGTGTCCCACGTCACCTAGTTAATTGGACAGAATGGACTGGCTGGCCCGACGGCAATGACGATGAAAATATTCGATCGATCGATCTAGGAGAAGCATTCACCCGAGAAAACAAACCTGCAAAACTAGCCCAGCCGGGAGGCTTGCAGGCGCCTGAAACCATTTTCACCGACAAGTTTGATTCCAGACTTGACTTATGGCGTGCGGGCTTGATAGTAAGAATACCGCCGTGGAACTCCAGGCGAAGCAATTCCTAATATTTGCCATAGATCTACTATCTTACCTTTGGAGTCTTGCCATTTCAATAGCTCCGAATTGATAGCTTAGTCGCGTCAATGATCGATCTTGTGGGAGAGTTGCCCAAAGAATGGCAACCGAAATGGAGGCAATTGAGAGTTGACAGTGGAGGAGATTTCGGTCTGAGAGAAGAGGGGCAGCGCTCTGACTCCAGATTGGAAGTCGTTTTCAATGAGATTGTCGACGACCAAGAATTACAAGGTCTGCTTCCCGTGATAAAGGGTTTGATGGTATTCTCGCCTGCCGATCGCATTTCGGCATCAGATGCACTTGCCTTCATCAAATCATCCTATGGAGAAAGCTGGTGAACCTTTTCCTTTATCCGAAGACTGGGCAACTCCTGCGATTGAGAAAGCCTGGATCGATAAGGGCGAGAAGTGTGCTCCTAGGCTTGGCATCTAATGGTCTAGTGCTGAGTTGTCGAATCTGAGATTAACCAATCCTTATCGTCGGAACTACACGTTGGCGTACATTGTCGAGCGTGTCGCGGCCAAAAAGGATGCCACCAGCAATAACCATCGCGAAGAGAATACCAGCATTGTTGTAGAATAGATGTGGAGATATCATGGTCGGTCAATTGTAACGAAGAAAGACTCTTCACCCGACTTCGACCCTTGAAGATATCGAAAAGACTCATACCCAGCGTTTTATTAAGTTGTCGAAGAAATCGTCCTTTCTCAGCGTCAATTCCGTCTAATAGTCTATTACGTTCTGAAACCGATGTTTCTCCCGCGAAACTGTAACCGCGGGTGGTAGGGATCGCGCGAGAAACCCCTTCAATGCCGTATCAGTATGGTATCAGTATGGTTAACATAAACGACTGATAGAAACTTTAACTGATCATTTGTGGTCGAGGACGGTGATGGTAATCTTTGTGCAAGTCTCAAAAGTTCGATCTGAGCTGTGGGTGGTATCGATCAGGTGACCGCGCACCCCCTGAAGGGGTGCCCCCAGTATTGTGTTGCTGCCAAAATACCTATACTCCGCCGTAATGATCCACCCTACTAAATCTGCCACTAGCGCAGGTTGTCAGCTTGACAAGGACCAAAAACCTCAGCAGGACAGGGCCTTCCAACAGTTATTTCAGCTCTACAAGGGCCTCAAGAGATGCGGAAAAGGCCATTCTAGATCGTACCTACGCGTAATTTAAACAGGAAGAAGAACAGCCTCCATGAGTAGAAAGAACAGAGAAAATTCGATAATCCTGAAGTGCATTTCCTACTGCCAAGCCTGCAACATATTGTTGCTTGTAATACGCGACACGTAACCTGAGATCCAACTAGTTCCTCTTCAATCGACACCAGAATCTCCTTTGCCACGCCTGGCCGCATATTGTCCGCCTGCCTCGCCCATTTTCTCGTCTGCATCGCGATCTCCAGCAGAGTGTTAGTCCAACCAGACACGCCGAGCAATACATGAAGCACGCACAGCGCTAGCACGCTGCGACCCTTAGAATTGGGCAATGCAAATCACCTCTCAGCACTCCTCATAATATGACTTCGAGCCAGAGGTGCACGGCCTCAGTGCAACTCGTCTGGTGGTCAGGTGGAGTGTGTCCATGGGGCCAGTTTCTCAGAGAGCGCTATCATACCGAGGGAGAAAGTCTTCGTACGATCACAGTTTGTAACAGCCTGCGCAGGGCTTTTAAGGATTTAAGAAGAGGTGCAGGTGCAGTGCTGGAGGTGGGGGATTGCAGGAGACTTCAAACGACCAGACCGATTATTGGCAGGAGATGATGTTCCCTTGCAAGAATAGGGCAAAGCTAGCGTAGTCATCAATCTAATGAGCAGCTTCATCTGGCAGCCTGCTCTGAAGAGGGACAGTGCTGTGGAGAATTAGGTGGAGCCAAGCTAATCGTTCCTCTGAACTTACCGCACCTACGATTCTTAGCATTGTGTGGGCTGAGATAACTGGGTGACTGGGGTTCATTTGGAAGTGCTGCGAGTTCGAGTGGGGTATTGGCATCTAGGTCTTGGTGTTGTTGGTTGTGTGGAACCAAACAGGCTGAGCTAGCTTGTTACACTTCGTCGCATCTGCATTTTTCCTTCGTTTCTTCGTCTTTGGGACATATGTCCTGGAGGTCAATGCGGCGCGTAACCTTCGTCTGGGTTTCACAAAGATACTGCCTTAAATAGCGGGTGGTTTTTCGCGCGAGTTCTTCAGCGGTCCCTGCACTCGGCGTGATTGTAATTCTGCTGGCGTGGATAGCTCTTTGGCCTACAACCGGCGGGAACCCTGGACATCAGATTCGTACACGCATCTAAGCAGGGGTAATCAAAGCACCAGCTTGGATTCCGGGCTCGACCGCGAAAGCAGAGATGTTTGCCAAAGATCTTCTCTTAAGGCATTGTTAGATATCGTGAATCTCCTTTAAAATATCGTAGACGGTCTACTTGTACAGACAAATTATTTCTTTGCTAAGTTAGTTAAATATCAGCAATTACTATGGGACATCTAGACTTTCTCGCGTGTTATTGACTGTTGTGTCT